AAAATAAAGGCATCTGTCTATCGACAACTACAAAAAAATTTTTTTAATAAAAAAATTAAAAAGTAAAAAAAAAAAAAATTGAAGTGCAAACCAAATTCAGGTTTCCCTATTTATCGACAAAGATTCCTTTCCTACTAAACTGAATTTCAATCCCAGGTAAGTCATGTGAGTAACCAGACAGTCTTGAAGTCTGGGTTTCCCACCTAGAGTTTTCCCATCTGATACGGGATCTTGCTGCCCTCTCCAGAGGCTCTTTGGAAAAGATGATGGAATCCAGTCATGTTGAAAACCACACTGAGAATTCTGTCAGGGGCTAGAAATCCTCAGGAAATCACTGGTGGCCTGAGGAATCTGGCCTCTCACCAGGGGACCTCGACTCTCCTGCCTAACCCGACTCCTGTCACTATCCCTGAGCTGTGGTCACCCTGGCCCCCTTGCACTGCCTTCAACAGGTCCCACTTGCTCCCACTGCAGGGCCTTTGCACAGGCTGCCTAGACTTAACAAGTATCCTTTTTCCAAGATAGCTCCGCGGCTAACTGGTTGACCTTCTTCAACAAATCTCTCGCTCACACATCACCAAAGTAGCCCTTTCTGATCTCAACCCCTACCTAAGTACTCCCTTAGCTGGCCCCACCATTCCCTGTGTTGTTGCTATTATTATTTTTATTGTGGTAAAGCACACATAATTTTCTACTTTTAAGGATCACAATTCTGTGGTGCATTCACCTCACTGCCACTCACTTCCACAACTGTATCTTTTTTCCAAACTGAAACTCTGTATCCACTGAACAAACTCCCTCCTTCCTTCTAAACCTCCCACCCCCTGGCCCAATCAGCACACTATATTCTGGCTCTGTGATTCCTATCTTACTAGGTACCCCAGGTAAGCAGGATCATAGAGTATGTGTCTGGGTCCTTGTGTGTCTGGCTGAATTCATCAAAGCATCATGTCTTTTAAGTTACATCCATGTTGTAGCACGTGTCAGAATTTGCTTCTTTTTTAAGGTTAAATAATCTTCCACTGCACCCACACACGCTTTGTTTATCCGTTTATCCATTCATCCATCAAGAGACTCTTTGGTTGTTCCAACCTTTGACTACTACGAATAAGACTCCTGATAACAAGGGTGTGCAGATACCTGCTCAACTCCCTGATTTTCAATTCTTTTAGATACATACCTATGAGTAGAAATGCCACATTCCATGGTAGTGATCTATGTTCAGCTTTTTTGAGGACCCACCATTCCATTTTCCACGGAAGCTGTGCCACTTTGCATCCCCCTCATTCTTGTTGACACTTGTTATTTTCTGCTCCCCTAACCCTCTCTTATTTTTCTCCATAGCACTTAACAACCCGTCATACTCGATTACCTGCTTATTTAAATTGACTCCCCGCTCCCTAACTAAAACTTAACCTCTTAGGGACAGGACTGTTTTCTCACTGCTCTATCCTAACAACGGGATTTGCACATAGCAGCTGCACAAGAAAATCTGCTGAACAAATAAAATGCTTGAACTGCAACCACTTTAACAGGCTTTTCAATCTGCTAAATAGATTCGCCACACCACGTTCATTAAACTCTACCGGGTTTTGGGACTCTCAAAGTCTAACAGGTGATGATGATGATGATGATGTCGGCTCTATATTCAGCTGATCCTCATTAGCAATCATCCGGCAACCACAGACACGGTGACCATTGGAAGGAATCATAAAAATTGTGTCATTCGTGTCATTAACTTCAAGCTTAATCACACAGTCACCAAAAGAGCCACAGCAAAACTTAAAACAGCAAAAGTGGGACAAAAAAAAAAGCACTTTTAGTTCATAGAAAGCCTGCAAATGCAATATGTTTTAAAAGATCAAACCAACAGCAAAAGACATGGGACAGTGGCCTTGTGTAGACTCCTTAATTAGACGTATCCAAGGACAGCTTAACCTAGAAACCTAACTTTAGTCCTACTTTTAAATTTTTTCCCCTGTCGTTCATATTTGGTGTTTGTTGTTTCATTTGGTTTGTTTAAGAGCTGCATGTAAAAAAAAAAAAAAAAAAAAAAAAAAAATCAGACAGAATTTCCATGAGCTCATCATAAATGAGCTAAAAAGCCACGTGAGTTTTTTCTCTGGAAGTCAGTGGGTTGTATTCCATGGATCAGAGGCAGAGTCCGTCTCTCCCCCAGATCTACCTCAGCTGAAAATACTTCAAGGGAAAAGGCCACAGATCTTTCTTGTAGAACTAGTCTATTCTCCTCTAAGCAATCATCCCATCTCTCAGTCTTCAACAGAAGATGCTCAGGCTGGAGATTTCGTGCAACAGTAGAGCACTTACTTACCCGCCTACACCTGAGGCCCTGGGTTCGATTCCCCAGCACCAAGAAAAAAAAAATAGAAATCCATCTCCCTCCAAAAAAACACCCATTCTATTTCAAATGGATGACACTATTGTCAAGCTTTAAAGACTTTCACGGGACTTGATGTGAAGACTAATAGTAATTAATCTGGAACATGACGATCTTTCCCAGCACGATAAAGAAAATGTTGATGAGATTTTATGTACTGAACTGAATTAGTCAAAGAACAAGTTGTTCTTTCAATATGCGCACTCACATGCGCAAATACGCACACTTGAAAGAGAGATGAAAAACTGAAATATTCTGCGCAGCCGGTGACGAGATAAACAGGAGGGTAGATGAGAAACAACCAGTATTTAACAGATCGGACTAAATGCGGTTTAAACTCTTAAATTCTCCGCATGGAGAAACACCTGACCCTTTCAACCTGCGTGGACACCTTGATGTAAATGATCAATATGTAGTTCAGGTGGGCACAGTGGCGCACTCTGTATTCCCAGTAACTAGGGAGGCTAGAGGATTTCAAGTTCCAGGCCAGACTGGGCAACTTAGTGAGACCCTATCTTTAAATAAAAAGGGTTGAGCTGCTCACGCCTGTAATTCCAGCAGCTCAGGAGGCTGAGGCAGGAGGATCATGAGTTCAAAGCCAGCCTCAGCAATGGCAAGGTACTTAGCAACTCAGTGAGACCCTGTCTCTAAATAAAATACAAAATAGGGCTGGGGGTGTGACTCAGTGGTTCAGTGCTCCCGAGTTCAATTCCCAGTACCTAAATAAATAAATAAAAATAAAATAAAATAAAAAGGTTGGAGATGTAGCTCAGTACTTGCCTAGCATCAGAAAGGCCTTAGGTTCAATTTCAGCACCCTCACAAAAACAAAAAATGTCTACGTCAGGTACACATCGACCTCAGAGGAGCCTAATGCTGAATGTGGACAATATTCCTGGTGATTTTGTGTGGTACTCTGATTCAGACTTTCGACATATAGTTTTCCAAATGAACTTGTCCACTATTAAAGGCCTCCTCAAATATCCACTCTTTTATCCCCATCTATGACTATGTCATCTCCTCCTTCTACCAAGTATAGTTAGCTCATCATCGGTACGACATAAGAATCATTTCATTAACAGCAGTCAGTTTACTCCCGCAATACTGCTCCAATGTTTGGGGTCACATGTTGCTTCCGAGCAATGTCACACTATACCTTTTCTTTACATACCTGGCTCAAAGGTGTGTGTATGTGTTGTGTGTGTGTGTGTGTGTGTGTGTATAAATAAATAAATAAAATAGAGCCACATGACATATGGCTGTGCATCTAGGTTACAAGAACGTAAAGTGCCAGTCTTGATATTTTAGCAATCCAGTAGTGGACAGTCTTTGGACCAGTTTCTCCTCGTCTGCACCTCACTCTGAAGGGAAGAACTCTACCTTGTCTTTGGCCCTATGAGCTCTCACACAGTCATGAGTCAATTAAACTCCAAGAATGAACTAGACCTTACACATCCAAATGCTTCTCACTCCACCAGCACTCCTGAGGATCTTATCAACAGGAAACAAAAGCACTATACTGCTATAATGAAGCGTCTGGCTTTTATTTTCTAATTAGAAAAGCCCAAAGATTGTAGCCCAGGGAACAGCTAAATATTTAGAATGTTAAAGAAGTTACCAAGACCCAGGCGCCCTCTGCCCCCCCCACCCCCATGGCCCTGTTGTTTACCCTGCTCTAGACCATTTCAGAAGAAAAAACTTTTGTCAGCCAAATCTGCAGCAATGGGGATGTACATGCACCCGTTGAGACCTCCCTCGCCTGAAGTGCAGTCTGACCATTTTGGGGAAAAAAAATAGGAGCTGTTGTGTTTACAGATAAACGCTGCCCTGGCTCCTATCCCACAAGAAGCACCAAAACAGTAGAGACACATCAGATTCCTTGACATGCAGGTAGTTTCAGTCAGGGTATTCTTCAAGAGCTAACTTCCCATTTTAAAGTTCTAATTCTTTCAACTTGCCAGCAACCACTTTCATTTCTTGGAATTCAACCTACTCTAATTAAACACATGTTCACACTAACAAGAAAAAAAATTGACTGTTTTTGAAAGAGAGAGGCATTAAATTTTTGCTTACATATCTTGGCAGATGAAACACACTGCAATCATCAGAATCTAAAACATCAGCTTGCTTCTCAGGTCAGCGGTGTCCCCCGCCCCCTTTACAGCTCCATTTAATGCTTTACATCCTCAAAAGCCTTCATGCTGTTTCACTTTTACACGCCTGTAATCCCAGCCATTTGGAGGCCGAGGCAGGAGGTTTGCAAGTTTGAGGCCAGTCTCAGCCACTTAGCAAGACCCTAAGCAACTTCGTGAGACCCTGTCTCAAAACAAAGAATAAAAAGAAAAGCCTGAGGATATGGCTCAATAGTGAAGTCACCCCTGGGTTCAATCCCCAGTACAAATAAATAAATAGTGCAAAGCAGGGCTATCCACCAGCTCTCTGCTCCCTAAAGCCCTCATTAAAGGCAGTGACAAATTTTGAAGACCCAGCCATGGAGTTACCTTTCTTTCCTACTCCCCACTCCCATGATTGCTTAGAGAAAACTAAACAGATTAACAACAAAAACTCATTATTGACTACAGCACTCAGGCTTCCACACTCACCTGACCCCGGGTCAGGCACTCTGTTACCAAAGTACGCCCAGCCAGGAATGCGAATCCTACTCCTCAGTAGTCAGCGCCTAGATATTTAGAAAGAAAGACCACTGAGTATGAAACTCTCTGGGTCTCTTAACAGAAATGCTCCTCCTAATTTCACCTGTTTTCCCTCTTTAGACCCCTTCCCTGGAGGGACACTCTCCCCTCCAAATTTGGCAGAAAGGTTGGTGGGATCACCTGGCAAAGATTACAGGTAACTTCGCTTGTTTATTTCCAGGGCATAACTGACAAGTGAGACCGGGCACGCACAAACTTCGAACGAGCATGAAGCTGGGTCTAAGCGAAGTGTTTGGCAGATCCCAAAGCACTCGATTCCCCGCGCGGACGATAAGTATCTGAAACCCGCATCCTCATTGGGCAGGAGCTCAGTCCAGACTTCTGCCCTCATCGCTCCCCCAGTTTTCCTCCGTTTAAAAAAAAAAAAACCCTCCCCGCGGGGGCCCCCACGCATGCATTATTCTCCTAACCATGCAGCGCGAGGGCTACATTTTTAGAAAGATTGCTTCCTTGAGCAGACTCACTTATGACACCCCCTCAACCCCCCTCCAAAAAAAAAAAAAAAATACTATTTCCTGCAGCTGCTCCAACAGTTTCCAACTTGGGGGAATGCCATTTCGGTGCAGAATGGGGTGCCTTCAAAAGCCAGGCACAGGAGTCCAGGGAGGATATCTGGGTTTGTTTGTTGTTTTTTTTTTTTAAAGCCTGAAAAGAGACCTCCAAATAAACTGCCGGCAGTAAAAGAACCCCCACATACATGCCAAGTGCATGCAAGAACTCCCAGAAAGCGGGGCAAAAACTTCTGCGCCCGGGGAGCCGATGCCAACTCCCCGCGCCCTCTGCCCGGCCCCAGCCTCTACCTTGGTGCCCAGGGAGCCACTCCGACTTGGGGGAGCAGGACGAGGAGAGGGGTTAGCAGCCGCTAGGTAATCCCATGTCCGCGAAGAGGGAGCTCGTTCCGCTAGGATGGAAGCGGAACACCCACACCTCCTCTCGGCGTGCTCTTTCTCTCTCTCTCTCTCCACCCCCTGCCTCCTCCTTCTCCACCACCACCTCCTCCTCCGCTCCTCCCACCCCAGCAAGCTTGAGGAAACGCTTCAGCAGAACATCCACATGGTTACTGCACTTTGAAGCGGCTCCCGGCGCTTTATATAGGCCGGGAAGCTCCCTGGGCAATGTAGTCCGAGTCCCTGGTCGTGCTGGCGCCCGGGGCTCTTGGGAGGAACTACAAGTCCCAGAATCCCCTGGGCTCCCGGGCTGGGCTCTAAATAGATGCGCGCGGGGACGGGGGAGGGGCGTCCTGCGGGGCGGCCCAGCTGCAAAGTCGGTTCCGCTCCGGGGCCCGCCGGACTTGCAGCTCGCGATCCCCCAGGACAGCCGGCCCGGGGCGCCCCCCACCCCTGGGGACTTTTCTCCTGTGGCTGTGTCCCTTACCCTGAATCCAGGTGACACAGGGGACCGGGAAGCGGGGAGGGGCTTGAATTTCTGCTTTGGGAAGTTTTTTTTTTTTTTTTTTTAACAAGCTATTGTCCACCCTTCCACCCCCACCACCCCCTCTTTGGGTCCCTGAGCCAAGAATTTCAGAAATCCGGGGCACAAAAACGCCAGTGTTTGCGGTCAAGGATTAAAGGCGCGAGGTTGTCTTTATTCAATCTGCTCTGCCCTGCTAGTCTTTCTTGAAAAAACAAAACACACAAAAAAAACTAACTCTGGAAGCGACGGTCCACGCAACCAGGAACAGAGGCGGGTCGCCTGAGAGCACTTTTCTGAACTGCGTGCGTCTTTCGTCGCCCGGTAAAGGAACGCAAACCTCTCTGGTGCGCAAATAAAGGAACCGTGTTGTGACTTGCCAGCGCAGCGATTGAGACGCAGAAAATAAATAGAAACGGCAATCTCGTTTCTGAGCCTGCTTCTAGCAGACCCCCTGCTCCTGGAAGCTGTAAATGCTTAAGTAAATAAACCGCAAACCAGAAAAATAAGGGCTTTGAACAGAGCCGCTTGCACAGAGATGCGCGTCCAGGCGAGGCGCCCTCCCAGCATCTCCAAAAGGGGCGAAATGGATTTCAGCCCACTGCCAACTAGTGCTTGAGGTCTCAGGCTATGAGATGGCGTGGGTTCTGGGTTTTGGAAGGAGAGGAAGGGCTTTGCTTCCTACCTCAGATGACGTGTATTCATTCCACAAACGTTTCCTGAGTGTCTACTGGGTGCCAGGAGCTGGGGCACAGTGGTGAGCCAAAACGCAACACAGCATCCCAGACAGGCGCTGCCTGCTGCTGCGTAAGACCTGCTAATAACAACAGTAATAATAATGATTAAAAAGCGGCTATTTTATCGAGCCCCAGACCACGTGCGCTTTCCATGCATCTTGCATGGAAAGTGTTACCATCTCTAAGTGTATTTTATTATCTTTCGCAGGTGCACAACTGAGGGCTCAGAAAAATCAGGTAACGTCCCAAGATGTCACTCACAGAGAGTTAAATCCTTGCATGCTTGCCCCCTAGAGTCTAGCTCCATCACCACTTCCTTAAACGGTCTCCCTCCACATTTTAGCAGCCGTCTTTGAGCCCTTAAGCAAGTCATTTTCATCTATTTGCTCCTGTTCTGCCACCAGAGAGAGGCAATTACTCATTAGAATTTGCCTACTTTCTATCTGGATCACTTGACAGAAGAGCCTTGTGAAGCTTTAGGTACAGATTAGAGATGCACCACCGGTAACAAATTATTACTGTGATAATAATGCCCAAACTAATAATTACTGGCATTTATTGGGTGCATGCCACGTGCCACTCATTGTTTTAAATTGTTTATGTATATCATCTCACCAAATCCTATTAGTGACCTTTTTTTTTTCCCTTTTTCTTTTTCTTTTTTTAATCCGTGAGAAAACAGGCACAGAGAAGTTACATCACGTTCCCAAAGTCACACAGGTGGCTGAGCTGGACTCCCAAAACCTTGACCTTTATTACTGCCCTCTACTGGCTCAGAGAGTTTAAACATATGCAATGTATTATTTAAGGCAAAGCTCTTAAGTTGACCAATTTAGGTTCATTATGTTTCCTTCCGCCCCTCCTCTCAGCACAATCCCCCAGTTATTGGGCACAAGAGTCTAATGCCAATGTCTCCCCTATCCTTCCCCATCATCAAGAACACCTCCCAACTGGCCACAACAAAGGAGTACAGAGCTTTATGTGTTCTAGTGAAAAGCACCTGTTCCATTTTCAAAGGGTTGTCAATTCTACTTTGCTAGCAAAGAAAACAAGTCTATGAAAATGTAACAAGTAAATCAAGAAGGGTATTCATTTCACATGCTTCTAACTCAGAAATGCAATGAAATTCGTGTGTGAGTTTTCCAAAGAATATTCCCATACATTTAAGAGCTGGAGTTAGGTAGCTTTCATCTTCGCTGTACAGTGGACATTTGTCCCCTGTTTGCTTTACCACTGTTTTCCCTCCCAGTTCACAAGTTTCATTAAAGTCCGGGACCTTGTCTCATTTATGCTCACATATCCCACTTTCCCCCACCCAGCAATACTTAGTCTTCTACTTTCACATTTTTGGCAGATGTTAAAAAAAAAAAAAAATTGTTGAAGCCTTTAAAGGAAAGGTGTGTCAGGCGTATGGCAGGTAGCACGACTGTATTTTTGAGCAATGGAAATCTCCCAGCCCACTCATATCATGGCCTGCTTTCTCTGCCTGTTTGTGCATGCAGTTCTTTTCATCATTTTGCAAGTTCTGGAAGCTGCTAAGTCACTAGAAGGTAATTTTACTAATTTTGCTGTGATGAAAGAGATTCTCTGTGACGTCGTATGATTGATGAATGTCAGAATAAAAGGGTCATTTGCACAGTAATTCAACGTGGAAAGTACATATTAAATTTCAAAGATAGTGTCAAAAAGAGCAACATATCTCAATAATTTATATATTGATTACATGTTGAAATTATAATATTTTGATTATATTGGGTTAAATAAAATAGATTATTCAAGTCAATTTTGCCCATTTCTTTTTACTTTTTTTTTTTACCATGGCTACTAGAAAATTTAAAATTACATATGAAGTTCATATTCTATGCTATTGGAACATAAAGATCTAGAAAACTAAAAACCTGATTCTCAAGATTAAAATTTAAGATGATGAGCACCCACGAAAATTGCTGTTCATGACTCTGCCCTTGAAATGCCCATTCAGGGAAGTAGAGGGCTTCGCAGAGTCAGTATAGTGTTATAGAGTGAGCCAAAGTCTGAAGAAGGCTCAAAACTAGCACACCAGCCTACCCCCAGGGAAGCCCTACAAATAGAAACAGGTTTCGTTAGCAGTCTATGGCTGAAAACTGCGGCTGAATTCATCTGCCAAGACGCCCACCCTCAAGTGTTGCCCTGATTAAAAGGGCAAGATGTGCTGGAAAAAGGGGGACTCAGGGGGAAAAAAATGGACTTAACACATAGTAGCACTCTTAATATCCAGGTTTATGTTGCTGAGTTGATTGACAGGGTGATACCTCTAATCCTTCCCCTGCAAATCCAATGAATCAATGCGTTATAGGACAGGAAAGGACTCTCAAAGTTCACCTGAGCTGCACAAGAATAAGAGAATTATCAACTAGTACAGAGAAACTGATGTGTTCTGATTCATTACTCCCCTCCAAACTAAACCTCAGCTTCTCAGGACAGCACTATTCCCAATTTTTTCCCAGGCAGGAGACTTCCATTGCCTATGAATGTCATAATAAGCCTCACTTGCTTTCGTTAATAGCTTCTCTAAGTCACTCTTAAATTGCAAGACAGAACTTCTAATACTCAAGTCATAACAGTCTATCTATTTTTTGGTGCTAACTTATCACCTGGTGTGATAAATTGCCATTGACCGTGAGAAGTGTCAGCAAAGAGAAATAGATACTATACAGCCAATACCAATATGGTCTTTCTTGGTAACTTTACCCATTTCCTGTGGTGGTAGGGTGGAGTCAGTCTAGCTTGAGAATTTTATAAAATTCATGAACGTTTGTCCCAGCACAACACAGACACTCAAAATTTTAGCCACTCTGAGTTTTTTTCCTAAACACCCACAAGAGTAGATTATCTTCTAGCTCCATCTTTATATATATTTAGTCATAAGTGGACTCAATATTTTATTTTTATGTGGTGCTGAGGATTGAACCCAGTGTTTCACGCATGGTAGGCGAGTGCTCTACCTCTGAGCCACAACCCCAGCCCTGGCTCCATCTTTCTGTGATTTTATCTTGCCAACCTGATAAGATCTTTGAAGACAGGGACTTGGTTCTATATTTATGTGTCTTTTATAGCACCTATGTCAGATCTGGATAGAGAGTGTGTGTTCAGCTTTAGCAGCTAATTAACTGTTAGGGCTACAAGAGTTCACGGGAGAAATGAGCTACAAACACATTGCAGTCCTACTTGAGATGGGAAGAATGTAGTTGGTATTCAAACAAGAGCAGGAGAGAGAATCATGTGGTATGGAGCTAGGAAGAGGAAAACATTTTCTCAGTCTAGTTTCCTGGCATCCTATGATGCTGGGACAGGTCATATTTGTGTTGTGCTATCTCTGGAGTGCAGAAAAGGTTGCTTCTTCAATCACCTTGTGAGTGGTGGGAACTTGGATAAATTATCAACAACTTAACATCTGGAAAGCAGCCTTGTAGCTACAAATGAATGCAAACCTGGGGCTGGGGATATAGTTCAGTGGGTAGAGCATTGCCTAGCATGGTGTGAATGGCCCAGGTTGATCCTTAGAACTGGAAAAGAAAGAGCTACACTTTTTACCATCTCTGATGATAACATTGTCAATCTTGTCTACAGTCACCTAAGCAAAAAAAGAGAGCTGCTAATTTTTTTGCACATTATTTTCTTGTGAAATAGGCAGAATCCAGGGTTTATGATCAACTCTGTCACTTTTCCCAATCTCCTGCTTCCCCTCTGTAAGACTGTCGTTGTTAATTGCTCTAGTGGACAAATTGGATCTAGAGCTTTGGAATGTCTTATTGTCTTATCCTACTGTTCGAACTGAAATTAAATCTGTGTGTCAAAAGAAAAACATG